CATCTCCTCTGGCTGTGGATCAAGCAGTGTGTGCTGCCCCCACCCGCACTTACTCCTCCTCTTCCCCCTTCTTCTCTTCATCCCCCACCCAGCTCCTGTCTGGAGAAGTGCACTGATGCAGCATCCCAGCGGATTTCATTCACCATCAGCATACATCCGGTTTTTAACCCTCATGTTTGTTGAGATTGACTTTACTGTTTTTTTATTGTGTATTTCTTTTTTTTTCTTTTTTCTTTTTTTATGTTTAAGGTCCTAAAGTGGAATCCATATGCATTTAAACATTTAAAATTGTTAAATATTTATACATATTAATATATAAATATATAGATTAATAAATATAATTAATGTATACTGTTTGTCATTATTTAATGTATATTAACATTGTTTCATATATATATATATATATATATATATATATATATATTAAATTTAAATGATAAATAATATTTAAATATGATCGATATTTAAATATTTGAATGATATTTATTGTATCAATATATAAAATTATAGATGAATGTTACATTTATAAAGTAACTGTATATTATAAATAGTTTATATACAGTATATAATAAAAGATTTTTATAATATAGACAGAAGACAAAATAAGTTCAATTGACCCTGATCTTCAAATTCAAAATGTTTTCACCTCCAGGCTCTTAATGCATCGTTTTTCCTTCTGGAGCATCAGTGACCGTTTGAACCTTTTGTAATAGTTGCAAGTCCCTCAGTGGTCCTCAGTGTGAAAAGATGGACATCATACAGTCATTGTTGGAAAGGGTTCAAATACGCAAAACATGCTGGAAAACAAAATAATTTGTTGGACCTTAAGGATTTTTCTGAAGAACAGCGGGCAGTTTAACCGTTCAGGACAAACAAGGAACTCATGAACAACTATCACAAAAATAAATAAATAAATAATAATTATATATATATATATATACATATATACATATACTGTATATATATATATATATATATATATATATATATATATATATAAGACTGGGGAGTATAATAAATCAGTAAATACAAAGATACAAAAGAGACCAGAAGAATTGAACACATGAAACCAATTTTACAGTGGTGGGTTTGTTAAGCACAAGTAAAAAGAGTCTTAAGCCCCTGATGTTTTGCCAAAAGCCCCTGATCTTTTTGAAGATGGACCATTCACCTCACAAATAAAATATGTATTACATGTTTTATGAATTTTAATTTGTTCTCCAAGTACTAGAAATCCATCTGTCCATGATGAAAAGCAGTCTGCGCTGCTGGCTTACCTCTTCTAACCCTTGCAACGCCCCTGGCGGTGACCAAACTGTCCTCAAGTAATTCAAAAAGAGCTTGTTGGTCACCATGCTATATACACTTTTAAAGACACATAAAACTAATTGTTGTTTCATAATCATGCATTTTTCCATACGTACATTATATTCAACTGTCTCTAGAAGTAATTGCAAATCACCCCGCACAGCTGGCTGAGGCTGCTATTATCCATCCCTTAAATTCCAGCTCAGTTGGCAAGGTTTTCCAAATCACACCATGCTTATATAAAGCAAACTGTAAAATATTTATTAACACCTATCTAATTAATCCTCTCTCTCTCTCTCTCTCTCTCTCTGTCTCTCTCTCTCTCATTAAAATTAATTAGACAAAAATATCAAAACGTTTTAAAAAGATTTTAATGACACTACTTCATATTAGGTAATGTAGCACAGAGATTCATTCTAGAGAAAAGGGAGGTTTTAGACATAATTCCTATCATTATTTTGAGAGAAACGATAATAAGGAACCTGCAGGCTGCTTTCGTTCAACAGAACCAATGTATCCTCAGTTGCCCAAAATGAATGTGTTCTGCTTTAAATGGCCCTCAACCACAGGTCAGACCACATTATTATGCATCTTAGCTTTAAATTACATAAAATACATAACCATGCATTCCCTCACACTTGGAGTTCACCTCACCATTCTCAATATAGGCCCCCTTACCACACTATTCAGCTGACATATTTGCCATTTTACTTATTGGAGTAGTCAGTGCTTTTTTGAGGTTGGCACATGCATGCATCTCAGTAATGCCCCCACAAACCACATATGCTCCTGTCATGCTATGACTGAGGCACTGCATTTTTGTAAAACATGAAAGTTTTGCAATAACATGCAGATTCCTAAGCAAATAGAAGTTCAAGAGATGTAGGCCACATCTCGAATGTATTCTTGATTAACCCTCATGCTGTTTTGAGTCTGAAAAACCTCAAACCCTTTTTGATAGCTCACATGCATTCATTTAAAGGGGTCATATGATGCGATTT